TGGTGGGTGAGCCCCCCAACTCCATTCACACTGCTCCCCCTGTATGTTTTAAATGCCATGATTACTTTTAATTTCATCAGGGTTACTTTCCCATCCAAAAGACACATCTATTGCATGAGGTAAAGACCCCAAGAGAAGAGCAGAGCAAGGTCCCAGCCACCAGCCACATCAGTCTCCTAAAAGATGCATCACTATCTGACTTGAGACACCAAATTTCCAGTTCCTCTAGGCTCCCTGCACAGCAAATCCAGCCCTGGCTGGGAGCAGGGGGTGGACAGCTGCAGCAGACCACTCGGTTCCAGCTGCCCCATCTGCCTGTGTGTTGGGGGCCACAGGCAGGTACGTGGCCCATCTGCTTGTGCAGGCCATCTTGTCCCACCTGTCTTTCCACATATTGCTTCCCACTGCCTGGGCCCCAACCCTGTCCCAGTCACCAACTCCACCTCCTATGACACCAGAAGGACGGTGCAGCAGCAACCCCTCTGCGGGTGCTCACCTTGGAATGTGGGCCGTGCCCGCGGGTCCTCGTGCCAGCACCTCTGCATGAGGTGCAGCAGGTGGCTGCAGGCACGTGGCCGCGGTCTGCACACAGGTGGCAGCTCTGGGCGGTGGCCCTTCACCACTTTGACCATAATGTGCAGGATGTTCTTCTCATCTGCAAAGGAAAAGCACACAGGTCAGGGAGGCTCAGCGGGGTGGGGAGACAGACTTTTCAGCTTCGGGAGGAAACGAGGCATGTGGGAAGCCACTGAGGGACCCACTCCATCCCCAGACACTGCTTTACTTCCCTTTGTAAAGCTTTCTTTAACTCTTATCCTTACAGGGCACGCTGCTCTCTATTTTCCCAGTTTTAAAAACTACCCATCTTGCAGGGTTATGATTACCAAATGGAATCAGTGCTTTATGTCACACAGTATATCTTTCTGGACATCCATCAAAGGAAAACCGGGTTAAAAAGAGAACAATATCTGACGAGATGGGCTCCAAAGTGGCCTGAGCCCACCAAATGGAGCCACGCTGTCCAGCACCCAGGTGGACCCCACTCTCCCTGTTCCCATCCCAAAGCTCAGCCACTGCCCCGCCAGCCAGGCCGCCAGCTCTCCTTGTGGATGTGGCAGGGCTGGGGTGTATAAGGGGGCCCCTTCCCCTCTACTCACAACCTGGGGCTCACCTGTCCTACCTCCCAGTCTCCTTCATAAGCGTGCACAGGGCTACTATTATTATTTTGTCCACAACTTCTCCACTGATTGGGAAGGGCCCAAGGTGACTCTCAGTGGGCCAGGTTCTTTTTTCTGCTCAGCCTAAAACCACACACTGTCCATGTCAAGCAGGACTCAAAGCTGCGTGTTCCCAACACCCACCTCACCCCCATGGTTCCACATGCACCCAGGTGAAAGCAACTCCTTGGAGAGGCAGGTATGGAAAATTGGCCCAGAGCCACCGGCAGCCGCCAGGAATCGACACTCATGTTTTGTTCCACTTTCCCATTAAATCTTGTGCAAGACCTATTGTAACTATCCAGAGGTTATTTCCATGATAAGTCAGACTTCCAAAACCAACAGGTCCTCCACATAAAAAGGGAGTGACCTAACGCAAACACCTGGAATATTTTCTGCTGCTGAACACAGACCAGAAAAGCTCCTGAGACACCTTGTACTCCTGCACCTCGACTCCCCCCCAGTCTACCAGGCCATAAAACATGGGACTTCAGTCCTTGATATTTACACCATGCACCTGGCTTAGGGCGTCACCACCATCAGACAATGTTATGTCCAACTGGCACGCTGCCACACTGGAAAGCGTTCAGACCGTGGCCCTCCATGGGGGAGGATACGCATACGCAGTTAGGGAAGAAAGGGTGGGAGGTGGGAGACCGTACAGGTACGACCTCTCTAGAAGAGAAGGGTAAGGATGTGTTCCAGTCTTTCCATGAGGATTTGAAAAAGCTCCCAATATACTCTAAATCTTGCGATTCTCAGAGTTCTCCTTGCCCTGGCTCCTTGCCTGTGCCCCAACTAGCAAGGGATGCCCAGACCTGGAGTCACACGCTCACCTGACCCGTACTTTCAGACATTTTTGGTCACATCACAAAGTATCATGAGTAGCCCAGAAATGCCTACAGAAGAAGGGAATCTTTCTCCAATGAAGCTAAGAAGTACTTGATTTTTACAATGAACAAGCAGAAGCATTAAACCCTTGAGAATATAAGTCAGAAGCTTCCTGGATGGGGGAAGGAGGTACTGGGCAGCTCTCAAGCTGGGCAGGGCACCCTGGTGGATGCGTTGAAATCCACTGGAGGGTTCTGCAAGCTGGCAGCACAACGTGTGAACATGTTTAACGCTACTCAACTGTACGATCTGAAATGGTGAACTTGATAACATTTACGTTAGGTGTATTTTACCACAATTTTTTTTAATTAAAAAAGATTAAGAATTTGCTGGAAATACCTGGAACAGGCAAATCCATAGAGACAGAAAGCAGATTAGTGGTTGCCAGGGGCTGGAGGAGAGAGGAGTGGGGAGGACATGGGGTTGCGTTTTGGGGTCACGAGATTGGTCTGTAAGTAGAGAGTGGTGATGCTGGTACCACATCACGAATGTCCTTAATGTCACTGAACTATACAGCTTAAATGGCTAAAATGATAAATTTTATGTTGTATGTATTTTACCACCAAAAAATAAAAATCAGCTAGCACCTAAAAAATCCACGGATTGTACCCCTTCAGATCTGTGCATTTCCCTGTATGTAAATTACACACACCACAAGAGTGCTTTGTCAGCACATAGAAAAGCCAGCAATGAGGTGGCTGCAGACTTGCTGGGCAGGACAGAGCACCCCCCACCCCTGCTGTTCTGGCTTCAAGGCCCAGAGCAGCATAGCACACATGGCAGCGTGATCACAGGTACTGTTTAAGGACAGAGAAAGTACATTATTCCCAGAATCCCCCATTATTCTAGGAAAGACAAATACACTACACCTCAAAGACAGGTCCACTTACCTGCAAATGGTTTCTTCTGTGTAAGCACACCCCAGATAACAATGGCAAAGCTGGAAGAGAAACCAGGACATTAGTATCTGTGAGCTGGAACCCCAGATAAAGTCAAAAGCTCCAATGCATAGTGACAAGTTTAAAGAAAACCCCTCTGAAGCCTTCAAAAGAGAGAGAGAGATAACATTGAGATATTTCCCGTGAGTTGTTAAAAAGAGAAAACACTTGTGGTGAGACCTGTCACGTGATAGCTGAGATATTCAACAACAGACATAACGCTGCCACTTGACCTGCAAGTCTTCAAGCCACACGAGGGATCCCTCAAGGGGTGCTGTGCTATCACGGGACCTGAAGCTCTCAGGGACAATGGCCCTGTCTGCTGGTTTACCACCCTTTCTTGCAAGCACTGGGCACAGAGCAGGTACTCAGGCATTTGCTAAATAAATGGCTGAATACATGGTAGGCAATTCATGTCCCTCTCTCTTCTCCTATGATTGCATTCCTTGAAGACACAGATTCAGGTTCTGATGAAAACATTCCTGACGGAGGCTCACTTAGATTTCATCAGAGGGTTGTTAAAGAAAGTGCACAGAAAACATCAGGAGGCAATCCTGATGTTTCAGCTGTTTGGGCATATATATAAATTACTCTGGATACACCAAAAAAAAGCCCAATCTGATAAATGTTTTAAAAAAAACAGAACAAAACAAAAAACAGGAGTCCAAAACTTGAGCCACCCCTGAGCACTAAATTGACATAGGCACAAGAATTCACCATTGAAAATCAACAGAAATCTGCAAGTTCAAAAGTTGGAACTCTCGACTCTAAAATAAAGAGTGTCTTACTCTCCCCAAATTCAACAAGCTGTGACTAGTCCCTGAAGTGCCATTCTCCAGAGACTCAGCACTCAAAGGCAAAGCTAAGCACAGGCACAATGGCGATTGTCAAACCCGTCCGCCAGGTCTGCAGGCAGTGGAGGCTGGGGTGGGAGTCACAATGCGCAGGGCAACAGCCACAATGAGAGGCTTCGGTGCCTGGTGACACTCCCTTCCCTCTTTTCTTCTCCAAGAAGTCTGTGTGACTAAGACCTGCACAATGTGAAAAAGGAAGGGACCAAGTGACTCGGGGACTGTTCTCTAGGTACAGAAATCCACTGAATAGCCTCTCTGGTGGACGTTCCTCCATCAAAGGTAAATGACATTAGGAAATGTAAGTTGCTTACTTCACAAAACACAGAGGAGACTGAATGTTGGAGAGCCCAAATCCACATGTATATAGACCATGGTCCACTTAAAGCAGCAGGTTCTTCCAACAGGCAAGCCATAAAACCCACATTTCATAAGCACGCCAGAGCATTCACAGTGCAGGAGCTGCCAGTCTGGTTACGTAACTGGCTCCAACTGGCACCAACAGCAACTTCTCCATCCTCAGCCAGCAACACCCACAGGAAAGAAATGTCTCTTGTATCCCTGGGGGAACCTGTACCCACTGGCTAAAAACCCCAAAGTCAACAAGCATGCACCCCTTTCATTTGGACTGAACCCCATATTTGATGGGCATTGAGGAGCCTTTCCAAAAGGTGCTATTCAGGGCATGAAGAATGAAGGGGTCCGAGCCCCCAGCCCTGCAGGCACAGGAACTGGGGGACGGCATGCCACACACCTGTACACATCGTGCTTGGTGTCAAAGAGCCGGCTCTTCTCCCGGATGCGCTCTGGAGGGAGGTAGGCGATTGTGCCAAACAGGCCGTCCATGCTGAGGTCATGTGAATGGGATAGTCCGTTACACTTGGCCAGCCCAAAATCGGAAATCTGCAACACAGCAGTCAGCCTTTAACAGTGTCACTCGACATACCACAAGCTGACACTTAATGACATTTTATCAATACCACCCCTCAGCAGTGTTAGATGGCTGCGCAGAGTCAGGATGTGCTCCCAGAGCTTTCCAGAAGCCCCTGCAAGTGCTTCCGCTCCAGGCAGTCCTGCCCCCAGGTAGGCAGGGAAACATGGACACTTGGCAGAACCAAGTCTGGAGGCATTAAGAGTGACACGCTTGATGGATGGGGAGAAAGATGACACTCTAAGGAAGGAATGCACCAGGAGAGAGCCCTCAAGACGAACTGTCGTCTGGCTTCTACAAGGCATCCTGTTTGCCACTGTGGTTAACAGCCCCAGTGGCCATCGAGGGAAAAGCAGTGCAGAGTTTCTGGTGAAGAGACAGTCTGCCTGCTAGAGGATCCGGTTATGCAACCCACCAGCTGGGGGGAGGGGGGGCAGGCAAGCGGCAGCAGGTCCTTTAAAGCCCTTTAAAGGGAAACACACCTTCAGAAGCCCTTTAAAGCAAACAAAACACACACCTCCTAACCTCCACGGGGCATTCTGCTTTCCACCTGGAATGTGTCGTGAGCAACAGACGCTGGCTGGCTCCTTCACCAACACACTGATCGAGCTACAGTCTGATAAACATCTCTTCCCCGAGTGAGCATGCCTCCCCTCCCCCACCCATGGGCAGGAGGCAGGTTTCCTTTTGTTAGAGGTGTTCTTAAAGCTCACTTAAACCCACAACTGGGGCCTATGCATGCTTCTCTGGGGAGCATCCTCTTCCTGCCCACATCCCCATCTCCAGGTGGAAATTAGACCCTCTGAAGCCAGCTGTGGGTGGGTTTCAGCCACAGCTCCTTAGCATTAATGGGATTCCTCTGATCCATGGAAAAAGCTCCTTTCTACTCTCCTTCAAGGCTTGTGGATTTTTTTAAGCCTTTTAATTAACTCTTGGGCTCCTCCTCTGACACAACTATGGAGAGATAGGAAACAGGGCTGAATTGGGCCTTGAATTCTGGGCTGGCGGAGCCCAGGAGGTGAGCTAAGGTGTCCCTGATGACTCAGTCTTCAACTGACCCATGAGCACATGGGGGGCCAAGGGGAAAGAGTCTGGGCCAGGTCCCCCATCCCCACAGTCAGGCTGTGCTGCATACTGGCCGAGGCTCACCAGGGCAAGGTGCCAACCCTGGGCCCCTTGCCGTTGTGTGTGTGGCCTCCACAGCCCTTGGGAAAACCCCCACCCCCTCCCCATATGGAAATTGCCAATTTCCGAGAGTAAAGCCATCATCCGATCCTGCAAATCCGTAAAGCAGCTCAAAGCTGGGAGACAGAATGTGCTGTGACTCTCAAAACAAGTTTGCGAACAGAGGCAGTTTGAGTTCAACAACCAACAGCCACGTGGGGACCCCCCGGTCTGCAGCATTTTCTCTTTCTCTCTGTCGCTGTCAGAAACAGCCAGCCACTTCAAAATGTGCTTGATGAACAGCAAGGAAGCATAAATTCTCTGTAAAAGCCCTGGCATGAAATGCAAACTCAGAATTCAGAACCACTGAGGGCCTCTTCCCTCCCAGGACTGGGCCCCGGCCCTGGCTCATTCCCTCACAGCCTTTTCCTCTTGCCCCCGGGGCTGCCCCCTCACTCTCTGCTCCCTCAATGGCAGACCCCATGGCAATGTGCTACGACTTACAAACACACTTGCCCACCGGCCTCTGCCCCAGTATCCCAGGTACCCCCAAGCTCACAGCCCTCCACCTTTGGGGTCCAGCTGGACGAGACTAAGAGGAGAAGAAAGCTCTTTAGACACAGGAGAACACAACCCTCATGTAACCCTTTGAAGACAGTCTGGTCCGGGCAAACTGGATATATAGATACAGCCTGAGATCTTAAGCCAAGTTATTTCATTTTTAACTTGAAATTGATTACATTAAAATTAGTATTTTAATAGTCAGTAAGAGAAAGTATAATTTAACATTAAGCATATTTAACACACTTTGCAAAGCAGGTGCTTGCTGTGAAATCTTCAGTTCTGATCATGCTATGTACAAAAAGGTGGCCTACGTCTGAGCAAGGGAAGGGGTGAAACGGCAGCTTATGATCTTATTTCAAAATCCCAGGTTACAATCATATGGCTTCAAATGCTGTCCACTGAGAACTGCCCAGGAACCTGACCGCCAGTCTATATGCAAAGTGTCCAAGCTTTGTCTTCAGGAATGGAAGTGCTGACTCTCTGAACATCATACACACGCCCCCTGCTGCCCTCCACACACCCGACTATTTCTAAGAATAAAAGAAACATGTTATGTAAATACATTTTTCTGCTTGTCTTTGGGCTTCTCAGGGTTGACTAACATGCCTGATTAAGAAGGGCATCACGGGGTATGTGGGGTGGGGGGCGGCCCCGAGGACATGGCGTCACTTCCTATGGGGCAAGAACAGTTCCCGCCATGGCTTCCGGCTCCTTTGTTGGCCACCTGGACCCCTTAGACACATGGACTCTTTAAGGAATCTTCACCCATAACAAACTGCCAGGAGCCACCAGCCCTCCAAAATCAGATGTTTACGAGGAAGAGAAAGGACTTGTTGCAGAACTTCAGATCAACAGTGCCACGACCTACAGGGAAACTAAGCTGCAGTTTGTCAGATGGTCAGAGAACAGCACTCACTTCCTTACTGGGTAAGCATTAAGCGCCTACTGTGTAACAGAGTTGGGGAGGACACCTCCATGAGCACCAACATCCCTGCCTTGGAAAAGACGGTCTACCTTAACAAAAACACCACCAGGCACTGTGCGAAGCACTGCCCGAAGCACTTTATGGCCGCTGACCCCTGACACAGCCTAGAGGTTAGTATTATCACCCCCTGGCACTCAGAAGCGAGATGTCACTGTGTTCTCTAGAGAATGTTCATATGCCCTGCCCCCAAATGAACACCCCGCATGCCCTGTCAGGAGAGAGGCAGGGGCCATGTGGGAAGGGAAAGAGCAAGACAGAGCCACGACAATGACGGCCGCGGCTGCAGACACCTGTCCAGCACACCCGAGAGCCCAGGCAGTAGTTGGCGTGCATTCAACAGCTGCCTCTGCCAGAACATGCGTGCCACACTGCCTTTCTCTACTTCAGCAGTCCTTGAAGATGGGGGCAAGGTGTTCATGCACCCCCTATCCTAATCCAACCATGCCTCCTGCTTCCCCTGCCCCCTCAAAATCCCAGTCTTCCATGGCTTTTCTTGGACTTTTTCCTTCACCTAAAGAGTCCCCTCCCAGCTGTATCCCTCACTCCTGACAGCAGAAAGGCCCAGCCCTGCAACAGCCCACCCCACCCTGAGGAGCTGCCCACTCTGCCCTTATATCACTGCTGGGTCCTAGCCACTTGGATTTGTGAACATATAACATACAGCAGCAGCAGGTCAGATGGGAAATCAAAGGCCCAGAGGCCACAGAATCAGGTTCCAGCCTCATTTAACCCCTCTAAGCCCCAGCTTATCAAAGGCCAGAGGCCACCGTCCACTCTGCCTCTGCTGTGAAGACTAGGGCAGGTCCCGTAGTGGAGCCCCTGGCGCACAGCAGGAACGTTATTACTTCCCCTTGTTTGTGTATGCTGCACCTCTGAGAGAAAAGACCGTATTGGATCACTGAGCCCGCAGGAGCTGCACCACCTGTGAAGACCTCCACAAATGTTAGCTGAGACTAAAGGGCCCACATGTGAAGCCCAACCATGCCACCCACAAGAAAACAGGAAGCCCAGAGGTCCTAGAATGTGAGAAGGTGCTGGAAACCATTTCTGTCTCCATTATCTTAATTCCTTGTGTCACAGAGCAGGACAGTCCTTGCATCTTCTAGCTAAGATCTATTACTGAGCAACACCTACCTAAGAGACAACCTTCAATTCCTGACCAAAGTGAAAACCTCTGCCTGGCTGAGCGGGGCTCCTGCATAGCTGCAGAGCCGGGCGCAGGGAGCAGTGTGTGCATTCCACATGGGCCTTTGCTCACCTGTTCCCAATCAAGAGCTAAGGGGCAGGGCTGGGCCCCAAACTCAGGCCTTTCCTGCTGGCCAGGCCAACAGAGAGGCCCGGAAGTGCTGTGCAACCAGGAACAATGGCAAAGTGACCGAAGCACATGGCCAGAACCTTGCCTGTGCCACGCACAAAGAGGACAGGAGCCAGACCCTGCCCTCAGATCCCTCCCACTCACCCGCTTGCAAGCCCACGTGCTTCCGTGCGTGACAGAGGAAGGGCCGACACAACCCCATTGTGTGGACCAGCATGTGGCCCCGGACCTCCCGCAGGCGTGTGGATGTCCCCAAGTGGGATAAAAACATGCGCCACCCATGAGGTGGACAGGACAACCCTGGACACAAAGACCATCCAAGGGAGAAACATTCGAGGAAGTACAGCCATGGTGCAGAAATGACAATGTCAATAACTGCTGACTCCAGGCGGCCGCACCTGCTTATTGGTTATATTACTCCTCATATGTTTCTGTTTCATAAACTCATCAAAGAAGGAAAAAAAAGCAGACAGAGCCACAGGCCTGCACAAATGCAACATTCTGCTCTCCAGGCTCTGAAGCCCCTCTGCAGAGCACCCCACGGTCCCCCTGCCGAACCTCCAAGGGGAAATCATGCCTTTACCATGGAACCTGAGCTCTCACATGGTCCATACATGCTCTGATCTCTAATCTGATTTCATAAGACATTCACAAAGACCAGAATCCATAAATCCATAAGCTCTTTTTTCCAAAGTGCCCAGAATTTAGTCATGTGCCAGGATTCCTCCAGCTACACAACCTGTGGTGTTTACACCAACCACAACAAGCTCAGGGTTTCCTCATGCTGAGAAAGGCCTTGGCTCCCGGGTTTTCCTTGCCCCCCCGCCCCCAGAAGAACCGCCTCCTTTCCCAACCTCGTCCTGACCTGGAGGCCCCTGTGGGCACTGTGCAGGCCCTACCTTGACGTGGTAGTGTGCATCCAGCAGGATGTTGGCAGGCTTGAGGTCCAGGTGCAGCAGCGGTGGGCTCATGCAGTGAAGGAAGTTCATGCCCACTGCGGTCTCATGGATGATGCGGAAGCGCAGGTCCCAAGGCAGTGGCTCTGAGGCCAGCAGTTTCTCCAGGGAGCCCGTCTCCATGTACTCCATGACCAGCCCCACGGGCTCCCTGCAGATGCCATACACTGGCAGGATGTAGCGGAACTTGGCCATTTCCATCTTCTTGGCTTCTTCCAAAAGTTCTATGCGCTCCCTGAAAAAGTTCAAAGGCATGAGGAAAACGCAGCAGTCACCCAGCCACACACACAGAGCACCTAGACCAGGGGACATCCAGCTCCAACGGCAGAGAAAACTACTCAGAGACACCCACATGGAGCTCACTTTAATGTCACATCATTAAATGCTGGGCCTTTCAAAGCCTTCAGTCCTGAGGCAGCTAGAAATGCTAGCTGAGGTTACTGTGAGTGATGGGGAGAGAAAGTCTCATAGTTACGGGGGTACCCACCAGTACCACCCCGCCAATGCCTGGGGTCTCGAAGCCTGGAAGTGGGTGCTCATGATCTCTTCTCTTGGGATGTGGGAAGAGAAGTTTAGGTTCCTCTAAAAGCTGCAACAAGTTATCTGTCCAAAGAACCCAACTCACTTTCTCTGTCTAGGCCCAATACTTTGGCCCAATTATTCCTGAATCCAATCTTGCCCCTTAATGGAACATTATTAATCTCAAGCAGGGGTTTGCCGAGGGCCAAATCCAGCCAGCCAGCAATTTTTTTATTGTGGTAAAATGTACACAACATAGTATTTATCATTTTAACCATTCATAAGTGGACAACTCAACAGCATTACATACATTTACAAAGTTGTATAAACATCACCACTATCTACACCAAAACTTTTTCATTTCCCCAATGAAAATTCTGCACCCATTAAACAGTAACTCCTCCTCCCTGTCCCCGGTAACCTCTTCTACCTTCTGTCTCTTTTGGCTCTTTACGGTTGGGGAAGACCCCACCAAATACATATATTACATTTTGTGCACCCACTCATCTGTTGATGTGTCACTTGGGTTGTTTCCACCTTTTGGTTCTTGTGAATAATGCTGCACATCTGTACAAATTAGTGTACAAATACCTGTTCCAGTCCCTGCTTTCAATTCTTTGGGATATATACCTAGGAGTGGAATTGCTGGATCTTGTGGCAGTTCTACGTTTAAACTTTTGAGAAACCACCAAACTTGTCCACAGCCTGCCACCTGTTTTTGTAATTAAACTTTTACTGGAAGGTGGTCTCTCCCACTCATTCATAAACTGGCCATGGCTGCTTCTGCCCTTCAAGGCCCCCTGGCCTACAAAGCCTACAAAATCTATTCTCTGGCCCTTCAGGGAGAAAGTCTGCCAGCCCCTGGTCTAAGTCACTCCCAGGTGCAGCCCGTGGTTTTACAGACAAGAATCCCAGGGCAAAGGTCTGCGTGCATATTATGGATCAAAAGTCTCAGAGTGAATTCAGGGGGAAAGGCCGACTCCCATGAGGTCATGTTTTAGCCATGGAGGATCTAGGTCAGCAATTCTCAAACACAGATCCCATAGACAGCACCCAGGAAGTTGGCTAAATACAGGTTTCCAGGCCTCATTCTTTGACATGAGTTCCAGGTTGGGGCTGAAAACCTGCTTTTTAATAATAAGTTCCTGAAGGAAATGTCCAGAATCACACCTGGAGACCCAAACTGTTCCAGCTGGGAACTGAGTGGCTTTGGTGTCTACACACAGGCTGTGCAGCCAGCAGGCAGGGGCAGCCTCCAGGTGATTTCTCCAGAATGCAGAGTCGCAGCTCTGCTCCCACTGTTCTGTTGGACCTTCCAGAGCGGGGCGCAGCCTGCTCCCCCCAGTGCCAGCCCTGCGGCAGCTGCTAGGAAACCATGCAGTGCCTGCTCCCCGTTTCTGGCCTGCCAGAGAATCCTAAACCGAGCCAATAAAACACACCTATTTCTTATTGATCTGGTCTCCCCTTTGAGACTGCAGCCCACTCTCTGTTTCCCTTACTGTTATGAAAACATTTCCCTATGCAGGAAGGCCAGCAGGTAAGGGGGAGCACCCGCGATTCTACGGTTTACCAAAACCTGCAGCACAATTCCCTCCCCTCTGCTGAACTTCCACCGTGGAAATTCCCATATAAGCACCAGGGGCTCAGAGGTCTCAGCCCCTCTGCCCGCCCCAGTGCAAGCCCCACAGCTGGGAGCTGAGCCCCAGGTGAACACACACCAAGGGGAGACTTCTTGTCTCAGAAAACTCGGATCCCCAGGTGTAGACCAGTGGTTCTCAACTAGAGGTGATTTTGCCCCAGGGGACATGGGGCAACGTCTGGAGACATTCTGGTTGTCACTGAAGGATGCTACTAAACATACTACAATGCATGAGACACACCCAGGCAAAGAATTACCTGGCCCCAAATGCCAACAGTGCCAACTCTGAGAGCCCCTCGTGTAGACCAAGTTAATGCGTTTTCAGCCAAACTGTTAAGCACTCTCAGACCTTACCCTCCCTTTGTTTCAAACTGTTTATTTGTTGACAGGTATTTGTGAACATGTGAAGAGTTGGTGACAAAAGAGACCCCTCCCAGCCTTCATGACATCTACCTTCTAGGGGAGAAGACGGAGAATCACACGAAAAAAGAAGCACGGTGGAGAGTCCAGGTACTCTGAAGGGGAAGTTCAGGGGGCTGTGGGAGAGTTAAGGGGGACCCTGAGTTAGAGTGGGGACGGGCAGCATAGAAGGCCTGGGAGAAAATAAGAGAAGCTATGACCTGCATAGCAGCCCAGGGCGGGCGCGAGGCTGAGCAGAGCAGCTCCCAGCAGACCACAGGCTTGGCGAGGGGAGGGGGGCAAGCCGCAGTCACACGACACATTCTGGAGAAGAATCAACAGGACCGGATGATTGACTGATGTAAGAGGACAGAGACGTGGCAGCAGCGACCCCGGGTCTCCACCAGGAGGCACTGGACAGTCCCCCATGCATGGAAGGGGGTGCACCCCAGGAGGAGCAGGTCAAGGGATCGTGGGGGGTGGGGGGGTAAAGTAAGTTTCTTTGAATATACTCCATAAGCAAAGAATCCCACTGACCTTAGGAACAAGTAAAACAAATACCAAGAATGAATCATTATATTACTACAAAACAGAAATAAGTGAGGCATGGCTTGCTTTCTTAGCACTTTGGTTAATTGACCAGTTAATGGAAAACAAGATGTCCACAGGAGTGCGATGCTGGCCTGTGGGGGTCCCTGGGCTGTGCCTTCCCTCCTGGGAAGCTCCACAGGGACAGGTTTGGGGGCCCTGGGTGTCCTGGCCCAGGACAGCCAACCCCCCTTCCCACAGCCACAGGCCAGGCCAGGCTCTGGGATCCGACAGGAGGCCAGACTAGGAGACAGATTCCAACACACATCCCAGCCTGGTGACCAACAGTCCAGACAAGGCCAGTGGACTCCCAGCCCTGCTCCCCGTCTCAACAGCATCTGAAAAAAAGGAAAGTAGAGGGTTGGATGCCAACGACCTCTCCCTCCTCTTCCTCCTGGAAGATACGTGGCCATGGCCATGGCTATGGCTGTGGCCGAGGACCCGTTTGTTATTTAAACTAGGACTGATACAACTACCATCTCTGATGAGGTCACTAACTCCCAAGTTGTTGCAGATGGGACTTAGCATCTGGTGCTGCTTCTGTTTTATATCTTGTTAAGAATCAGTTTTGTGATTTGTCTGTTTCCTATGACTTTTATTTCCTTTAAAAAAAAAAAAAGTGGCCAGCTTGCCACCCCTCCCCTACCCATGTGGGTCTCCCTTCGCAGGGTGCTATACCCAGGTGACACTGGCATAAGTCCTCCTGCAGGAGAGAGAGACCCCTCCAGTGTGAAAAAGCATGAGGCACACCCTCGTCTGAAGGTTGGGAGGAATTGACAATCCTGATATTTACAGGCTGGTCATCAACCAGGGTCATTTTCCATGTTAAGCAGACATTCCAGGAGTGACTGCTGTAAGCCAAACCTGACTTTGAGAACAAAGTCAATGAAATTAAGGCTGAAGTGGAAGCTCTGAGGCACTCTGCAAGTGTTTTCTTCCATTTGCCCAAAGGGCTTAATACATAAAACCCAGGTGACTTCCTACTGCAGACCTCACTACTGACTCCCTAACAGTTGCCGGCTGGCAGCAGATCACACCTCCTCCCACTACCCCAAGAGCAGAAAGTTCCCGCCTGCCCCAGGCCCATTAAGAAGAACAAAGTCTCCATTTACATTATTAAAAAATAAAAATTAGAGAAAGAGCTGCCACTGCTGGTTTGCTCCAGAAAGCTGATCCCAGCTTGAATCTCCAAAGGGTGTCCAAGTCGGCTTTAAACAACTATCTGAAGAAAACCGGGTAAGATTTCCCCCTTCACCAGCCACACCTTTCGGGACATTTTGTCCAGGAAAATCAGCTATCCTGGAAAATAAGCCATTGTTTCCAGGGACAAAATCACTTTCTCAAGACAGCACAATCTACGTCTTGGGGCAGACAGGAAGGGGTTCAGGGACTGCCCAGCGAGGGGCCCACCTATTAGGAGAGGGGGAGGCTGGGGCTCCCTGCACGCCAGCCTTGACTGTTTAGAGGGAAGCACATTCACAGAAACTCTTCATACCACTTATTTATCCGTAACCACAGGGCCAGAGGGCCCCAACCTTTCAGCCTTTCTTTAGTCACTCGTGGAACCACACCCTGGGGTGCCCCAGTGGCTGCCACTGGCTTTCGGAAGCTCCAACCCTTCCTGGGTCGGGTGTCGGCAGGCAGCATCTGCAATTCAATAAGCTTGAAATGGGCCTTCTGTAAAGTCGCAGCAAAAGGCACTTCCGATGAGCGATGAGCGAGATCTAAAAGTGCTCAGAGCACAGAAAGAAGCCGCCGATTGCTTTGTTGTCAATGGAAATTATTTTGTTAAAACATTTTTTCCGGGCCGGCCCGGTGGCGCACTGGATAGTGCGCTGCTTGGGAAGCGCGGCGGCGCTCCCGTCCGAGGGTTCGGATCCCACATACAGACCGGCTCCCGCTCACTGGCTGAGCGAGGCGCGGGAGCAACACCGAGGCTTGCGATCCCGTTGCCGGTCCCCGGTCCGGTACGGGGGCAACACTGAGGGTTGCGATCCGTTGCCGGACACGGAAAAAAGACAAAAGACAAAAAAAACCAAAAAACAAAACATTTTTTCCTCTAAGTAGTGCTTCTGGCTTATGTTGCTGGCCACACAAAAGGAACTGGAGAACTATTGTTATTACCATTATTTTAAGACCTGAAGAGATTTTCAATCCCGTCCAGGAGCTCGCTGCTGGGGGCACTGGGGAAGCACAACTGTCTGGTGCCAAGTCTTGGTGGCATTCCCACCACATTTCTTCCCACCAAACCACATTTCTTACTGTTAATGGCAAAGTGGACATTTCTGGGCCACTAGAACACCCTGACAACTAGTCAATTCAAACACAACCTAAAGCGTAGCTATGGTCAGGCACAGCTGAGTAGCATGGTCACCATATCTCCATCCCCTCCTTCGTCCTTGAGGGAAAGGGATGCTAATTCTGTTTCTGAGCCATTAGGAAGAAAACACCCTCACCTCACCCCTGAACCTGCTTTGGGTTCTAGATGGAAAATCTCTTGGGCATTCATAGAACCCAGTTGGGGTTCTATTTTTAACTTTCTCAGTACCATTTACCTTAATTCAGTTTTCTTCTCATTTAGGGCTAGCCCAAGCACATTTTTCCCCATCTCAAGGAGGGGGGAGTAGGGAGAGCACTGGAGGAGGGAGAAATATTGTCACCCCAATCATTTCTAAAAGAAATCTTATAGAAAAGCCATGGGGCTCTCCTCCCAGCTTGGACCAGAAGACCACGTTGGATGGAGAGGGAAGCCGCAGTTTCCCCCTCTGGAAGTAGGTATCTCAGAAAGGGGAAAGAGCAGACCCCTGAGACAGGGTCTTCGGAGGTGGAGAAGCAGTGAACTACAGAAGGAGAAACTCGGATGAGGGCAAGGGGGTTAGAGTTGCTCGGGTAACAAAGAGCTCCGCTCCACAGAAAAGAAAGCTGGGAACCACCTTCTGGAAAAGGCAGCTGGAAATATGGCTTCACCACTGTTAGCTGAGGCCTCTCTGCCAGGCCTTTGCACACCAATCCAGCTGCATCCCGGGAGCCTCAGAGGGGTTCCCACACTGCTATTTTTAAAACCGACAAGGAATGGGCTTGTCCGATTGTCAGCCCTGCAGCTACACACCCGGGGTTTGCTCAGGCTCGCCCCAGCTAGCTGGCGCCCAGCACAGCATTCACCACCGACCGGGACAGGCACTTGGTTATTCTGAGCTTCCTCTTAGCTGGGGGCAGGGAGGGGAAGAAGGGAGACTTTGGGGTCACTTTGTTCTCTCCTAACTGGCAACAGCACCCATCCCCAAACACCACCTTAGGCCCCATGACCCCCTGATGAGGGTCAGATATCTCCCCAAAGCCACCCACAAGACCCTCCTGAAGCACTAAGCCCCATAAGGAGGAGATATTCAGATCAATGAAGTGTCACTTGTGAACCACCAGCAGGTCCCATTGGTAGGTCCCCTCAGCAAGCACTTCCCTGCCCCCGGGGAGCCTCGACAGGTGCCTAGGGGATGCAAAGGCTCTGACCTTTCCTGCACAGAAATACATGCTCACACCACCTAGAGCAGCTGCTACGTGGAGGAGCCCAGACACGGCCAAGGAGAGGATAAATCCTGGGGCAGGAAACCAGGAGACCCCAGCCAGCCTGGACAGCAAGCAGCCCTGGCCAATAAAAATCAGCCTTGCCCACACCTATACCTGTGGTAGGTCCCTGTGCAACATGGGGAGAGGGCCACAAATGACTCCAGTCATCCTGGAAAAAGGCAGACCCATGTGCCAGGAGGGAGAGGTGCTGCCCCTCAAACAGGTGAGGCAAGACTTAGCCAGAGGGGTATAGAGCTGGGGCTGCACACAGAGACCCCAGGAAAATCCTATTCCTTACTCTCCAGCACTTGCAAATACGGGGGCAGGGCAGGAGCAGCCAATTAAGAGAGCAGCAACAAATTTGGCGGGGCGGGTAGAACAACTATTTCAAGGTTTAGATGCAACCTTGTATGTCTGCAATAGAACCAGCTCCTCTTAGAGCACAGTAGGCTCAATGCAAATTCCTAACACGAACCTCAAGCTGAATACAGTCAATAATTAACCTAAAGGACTTCTTTACAAAGAGTGGGGGTTTCACCATCTTCTTAGAGAAACCAACCACTGCTGCAAATGCAAAACTCCAGCCTGCCCTACATGGCCTGGCCAAGTGCAGGAGGTGAGATGCCTCCTGCTGGGTGACGCTGACCTCAACCTAGCTGCCCAACATGCCATCACCTGCCTGCTTCGAGCAGGGCAGGAAAGGCTTCCAGTTAAAGGACAAAACACTTCAACCAGGCTATGCAATCTCCTAAGTGACCAGCCTTGAGTGGAGAAACCCTCCTCCAACTAGGCCACCCAAGAAACAAGGGACCTGATCACTGGAAATAACAGAAGCGACTAAGGATACAGGTCGATGAGTCACGGGAGGAAGTGCCTGTTTATTCTGCTCTTCCAATATAAAAATTGGTGTTACATCTACCTTGATGAATAAAACTTGCTTCCAATGAAAGACTACATCAGACAAATGTCACCAAGAGCCCCCAAATGCCCCTATGGAGAGGGTCTCACTTTTCAAAATCTTACCACCGTCTGATATTCAAAGCAGTTTGGGGGCCGGCCCGGTGGCGCACTGGATAGTGCGCCGCTTGGGAAGCGCGGCAGCGCTCCCGTCCGAGGGTTCGGATCCCACGTACAGACCGGCTCCCGCTCACTGGCTGAGCGAGGCGCGGGAGCAATGCCGAGGCTTGCGATCCCGTCGCCGGTCCCCGGTCCGGTACAGGGGCAACACTGAGGGTTGCGAACCGTTGCCGGACACGGAAAAAAGACAACAAAAAAAAAAAAAACAAAGCAGTTTGGATTTCATCAAAACCACAGCGCCCCTCCCAGCCTGAGAAGTTCCCAGGACCAGGGGTCTGTGCACAGCCTCCGCAAGCACCTCACCTCTGAAACAGTGGTAATTTTATGATACTAGTCATCACTCTACTGAAGTTTCCAAGAAACACTTGGTTTAAGGGTTACAGCAAAAAGCCACCAATAGCGCTCTACTATGTAGTCTCCTAGCCAAGGACAGGGAGACACAAAGGAAGTGTCCCGGAGCCTCTTATCCCAACAGTCACTGTGTGCTGCGGCAGCACATACTGCCACCCAACACAAGCATCACCGCCACTCTGCGGAAAAGCTGCGGGGTAGAGGCCCCAACACTCAATAGGTGGAGTATTTGATACCAGGTCTCCGCGGCAGCAAAGGCTAAAGGGCGTGTAAAAGGAGATGCTTCTGAGTCTGCGTGTGTCTGACTGAATAAGGGAATCTCCACGTAAAATACAAATACAAGGTGACTTCCACGTACAATGTAAATTTCATTAAAGGATAAGTACTTAAAATGTGCTAAACTGAAGTTTGCATGTAAACTATTAAAACTCAACTATAAACAGTAAAATCCGGGGGGGGGGGGCGTTGCTTTTCAAGAATCTTCTCCCTCTCCCACCCCCCAAATTATGCACAGGCCACAATCGACCCAGCAAATTAGGCACAAGAGGCTCTGCGGCCTTTCGAACCATCTTCATTCACATGAGCACCCCTCTTAGGGAGGGACAGGCAGGCTCTGTCCTGGCTTTGGGGTGCCAGAGGGCCCTAGGCACGGCCACAGAGTGGGTTAACGCAAGGCCCTTACCCAGAGATTCAACCTCCAAATAAAGTCAGCTAAAAGGAGAGTGTGCGGCGAGGAAGCGCTGGGCCTAACAAGACCCCCGGCTCCTGCGCGACCCCAGCGCCAGGCCCGAGCCCTGAAGCGCCAACGCGCAGGTGCCCGGGCGCCGAGGAAGCCTCGCCCAAGCCAAGCCGGTGCTTCCGACCGAAATAATTATCGTCTTACGCCAATTTGTGTTCCAACTTAAATTACTAAGTAAGTCGAACGGAGTCAACTACGCTCACAAAGCCCAGATGCCCACACGTCAATTTTTCTAAGCCCGGCGCAGACCGCAGCGCCCAGGTGGGTTCCGGGCCGGCAGGCCGCGCCTCCGAAGGGCGCTAGTCCAAGGCGCACGGCGAGCTCGCGACCCTGAAATCCGGGGCCACTCGGGAAACCAGGGATCGGGAAGCGCCAGGGTGCAGGGCCGGGCACTTCACAAGGTCTCGGGCGAACACGGCCCCCGGAGGACCCCCCCCCCCCAAGGAACCGCAGCCCGGGCCCCGACGTGCGCAATTACGCCCGGAGCTCGCCTCGCCGAAGCGCCCCCCGCTTCGGGGCAAGCCGAGCGGACACTGCTGGGGGCTCCCGGCCTCGCTGGCGTGTGGTTCCCCGTCCGAGGCTGCTCGGGAGGTGGCTCCGGTGGGGGGAAGGAGAGCCCCTCGAATCTAAGCACCCCTGACCCTGGCCTGCCGCCGCGCGCCGCTGAGCAGCCCTGCCCCGTCTCCCGCCCCCCGTCCCTGCGTCCCCTCCCGGGCCGCTGACCTGTCGTCGACGTGCAGGCTCGGCG